GGTTTTAGATTGGGTCTAGACTGGTTTTAGATTGGGTCTGGACTGGTTTTAGATTGGGTCTAGACTGGTTTTGGATTAGTTTTGAACCGGTATTTGGTAGATTTTTCCCTGGTTCTGGACTGGTTTTAGACTAGTTTCAGCCTGGTTATGGACCGTTTCTTAATCTGGTTTTGAACTGCTTTTAAACCAGTTTTGGATTGGTTGTAGCCTAGTTTTAGGTTGTTTGAAGCTGGTTTTAATTGGTCTTAGGGTGGACTGGTTCTTACTCTGGTTTGAACTGGTTTTAGTCTGGTTTTCAGCTGGGTTTAGACTCGTTCTTAGTCTGGTTTTGGATTGGTTTCAGTCTCGCTGGTGTTTGGATTTTTAAAAGTCGTTTTAGGCTGGATTCTGACTGGTTTTGGACTAGTTTTGGACTGGTTTAAGCTGCTTTGCACTAGTTTCCTTGACTGGTTCAAAGCTGGTTTTAGACTGGCTTTGAACTGGTGTGGGACTGGTTTTAGCCTAGTTGTTGTTTTGGGCTGGATTCTTAAAAACAGTTTATTTTTGGTTTGGTTCCAGGTTCCAGGTTCTGGACGGTTAAGCGGCTTCATTTTAGGGACAACGAGCCTCTTCGTGGGTTTTGGGGTTCGGAGGGTGAAACCATCAGGAGGACCGGCGCTGTTTTACTTTGCAGCTGAGTTTGTGTGTTGCTGTGTGTTGTGTCAACCCTCTGTGTGTGTGTGTGTGTGTGTGTGTGTGTGTGTGTGTGTGTGTGTGTGTGCGTCAGGTGTTCTCGGGGATCTTCACGGCTGAGATGGTGCTGAAGATCATCGCCCTGGACCCGTACTACTACTTCCAGACGGGCTGGAACATCTTCGACAGCATCATCGTGTGCCTCAGCCTCATGGAGCTCGGCCTGTCCGACGTCGAGGGCCTCAGCGTTCTACGTTCCTTCAGGCTGGTACGTCTCTCTGACCCTCACCCTGAAACGCCACCACGGCAGCACAGAGACGGACCGAGTTGTTCACTTAGACCTTAAAATAGGATTCATCGGCCCGCCGGTCCCTGGTTCAGATCTGAAAAGTCCTGAATGTTAGGATGTGGATTTAAAGCTGCTGCTTCATGTGGACCGGCTGTAGACTGCTTTCTGACTGGTCTTGGACTAGTTTTAGACCGGTTTGGACTGGTTTTAGGCTAGGTTTAGACTGTTTGTTTTGGACTGTTTTTGTTTAAGACTGTGTTGGACTGGCCTTGGACTAGATTGTGGGCTGGTTTTAAAAACGTTTTGGACTAGTTTTGGACTAGTTCTAGACAGGTCTTGGACTGTTCTTTTAGACTATGTTGGAACTGGTTGTAGACTGATCTCTGACCGGGCTTGGACTCTTTTTAGACTGGTTTTGGACTGGTCTTATGTAGACTATGTTGGACTGGTCTTGGACTAGGTTGAGGCTGGTTTTAGACAAGTTGTAGGTTTTAGATAAGTTCTGGACTAGTTTGATCCTTTTTTTTTAGCCTGGTTTAAGACTGGTTTGTAGTCTAGTTTTGAACTGTTTGTTGATTGATATCTGGCTGGTTTTGGACTGGGTTCAGACTGTTGTTTCCACTACGTTGAACTGGACTAGTTTTAGACCAGTCTAAGACTGGTTGTAGACTGATTTCTGACTGGTTTTTATAGTATGTTGGGCGGTCTTGGAATAGTTTTAGGCTGGTTTTAGTGTGGTTGTAGACTGGTTTTAGGCTGGTCTAAGACTGGTTGTCGACTGATTTCTAACTGGTTTTGAACTGGTTTTATAGTATGTTGGACTTGTCTTGGACTAGCTGAGACTGGGACTGGACTGGCTTGTCTCAGGCTGCTTTGAACTGGTTTTAGAGTGGTTTGGGACTGGTTGTAGACCAGTTTAGGCTGGTTTTAGACTGCTTTAAGACTGGTTTTATATGGGTTTTTGTAGCAAGTTGGACTGGTCCTGGAATAGTTTTTTGCTGGTTGCAGAGTGGTTTCGAACTGGTTTTCGACCAGTTTAGGCTGGTTTTAGACTGTTTTTAAGCTGGTTTTGTACTGGTTTTATAGTATATTGAACTGGTCTTGGACTAGCTCAGACTGGGAGTGTTAATCTGGTTTTGGACTGATCTCTGGCTTGTCTCAGGCTGCTTTGAACTGGTTTTAGGCTGATTTGGACTGGTGTTGCACTGGTTTAAGGCTGGTTTTCAGGGGGCTTTGATTGGTTTTAACCTAGTTTTGGCCTGGCTTTGGGCTGATCCTGATTTTGGTCTCTTTTCCGTCCCAGCTGCGAGTCTTCAAGCTGGCCCGCTCGTGGCCGACCCTCAACACCCTGATCAAGATCATCGGTAACTCCATGGGCGCCCTCGGCAACCTGACGCTCGTCCTCGCCATCATCGTCTTCATCTTCGCCGTGGTCGGCATGCAGCTGTTTGGAAAAAACTACCAGGTGCCGCCTCTGACCTCAGACTGCATGTGATTAATATTGCTTTATATCACCAGATTATTTATTTTTTATTTTATTGACTCTTCTTTTATTTCCACTGTTATTTTTTTATTCTTTTATTGATTTATTTTTGTAATTTGGCGCTCTCACTGCTCCATAGTTTTCTTCTGATTTAAATTTAAGGTCAAACGTTGTAAAAGAACAAATTATTATTTGTAAAAAATACAGATTTTTGACAGCTTGGGCTTTTTTTTTTTTTTTTTTTTAACCATGAACATGAAAATGAACTTTCTTATATTATCTGCAATTTATCAAAACGGTCACATCTGTAAAACAACAACAAATTAATTATCTTTTGACATCATCTACAGTTTTAACCTTTTATTTTTGTTGACAGCTTATAAATTTAAACCTTTTTCTGTGATTTTATTTGATATTATTTCACAAAAGAGGGGAAACATGTGAAGTAGCATCCTGACACCTGCTGATGAAACCCGGTGCATTCAGTGATTTTATTGGTTCTGTTGGTATTTTTCGGGATGAGGAGTGAAAGCAGTCGGTCGCTGTGGCTTCCTGTTGGTGGGTCCAGCTTCCTTACGCGCAGCTTGTTTCTGCTTCAGGACTGCGTCTGTAAGATCTCCAAGGACTGCGCTCTGCCTCGCTGGCACATGAAGGACTTCTTCCACTCCTTCCTCATCGTCTTCAGGGTTCTGTGCGGCGAGTGGATCGAGACCATGTGGGACTGCATGGAGGTGGCCGGGCAGCCGCTCTGCATCCTCGTCTTCATGCTGGTCATGGTCATCGGGAACCTGGTGGTGAGTCGGTCCTCCTCTCACCAGCCTCGGGCAGCTTTCAGTCATTTTTATTCACTGTAGGTTCGTGTTTGTCTGCAACATAAAGTCCTGCAGCTCTGTGGAACCAGAACAACGTGAAGACGGGGGGAGAGCTCAGAGACGTCTTCTGTCAGCAGAATGACCCAAAGAGCACAAAAAGCCACTAAAACGACACAAAACATACAAAACCGAGGCAAATGATGTAAAAATGTAATGAGAAATGATTCAAGAAGGTGGTAAGAAGACACAAAAATGACACTGAAGGATGCTAAAATGAAACAAAAATATAATAAATTGTGTTAAGAGGCACAAAAATGACATGAAAACCTGCTGAAGTGACACAATAATGACACAAAAGATGCTAAAATGTCATAAAATTTACAAAAAAATGCCACAAAAAGATGCTAGAAGGTCATAAAATTTACAACAAATGACGAAAAGATGCTGAAATGACACAAAAATACAATAAATAGTGCAAAGAGGCAGTGAAATGAAACCTGCATGAATGTCATAACACTTACCAACAGAAGACCTGTAGATGACAGATGACACAAGAAGATGTGATAAAGACACTTGAACACCTCTCTGATGAACCGTCTGAACTCCGAGCAGCGGTTTGGGTCTCGTGTTCACTGAGGTTCCTGTTCGTCTGCACCATGAAGTCCTGCAGCTCTGTGGAACCAGAACTTCCAGACATTCGTGGTCCACAGAGGATGGACCCTGCAGGGCCTCTGACTTGAGGTTCTGCTGCCTCCGATGTCGTCGTGTAGAACAGCGCTCGGCTGACGCGAGGACAGATTTCCTTTCTCCTGATGACTATCTTTGCTCTCGTGTTTCGCCGCTGCCCCCCCGGGACGCCCGGCTCGGTTTACTACGGACCTCCGAACGCGTCCGTCAGCGGCTCGGCGGGAGTCGGACGGGTTGGGAAACCGGAGAGGAGAAACTGAGGCTGCTGCTCTGAAGCGTGTTCTGTGTCGCCTCAGGAGGACACGACTGTAAACAAACCAAAACAGTCTGGCAGAAAAACACACGAGAAAAGAAAAGAAACTGGAAACGCCGCAGAAATAACGACGCTGAACACACGAACAAACCAGCGCTAATGTGGCTCCACCTGATTTTATGACCACATTTTGTAGAGAACTACTTATTATCATGTTTAAAACAGGTTCACAGTCTTGTTGTTCTGAATTAATACGTTGACAGCGTTTCTCCATCCTTCATAAACAGGAAGTTTATTTTTTAATAAATAAATATCTATGAAATAATTCTATTTTTTGCTGATTTGGTTTTAGTAAAGATAATGTCTGTTTATGTTTTTAATATTTGTTTTAAAAAACAGATTATTATTATTATTTAATGTGGACATTATTTACAGTTTTGGATTTTTTTAAATCATTTTTTTTGTATTATTTCTGATAGTTAGCAAATAAACCAATACTTCTGTAATTTAGTCAAACATGGAAAATGTGTAAAACAACTATTTAAACATTTACTGATTTTCTGTCCTTAATTTACAAAATGTATTTTTCAAACAGCAGCAAACATCTGGAGGGAAATTAAATGTGTTGCTGATTTAAACACGGAGAGAAAAGTGTCGTCCTGCAGTCGTCTTCTCTTTTGTTTTTCTTCCTCCTTCTTTCTCTTCATCTGGTTCTTCTTCCTGTTTTTCTTTCTTGTTTGTTTTCTTCTTCTCCTTCTTCTTCTTTTTCCTCTTTTTGTTCTTCATCTGGTCCTCCTCCTCCTCCTCCTCCTCCTGCGGTTCTGATCCGATGCTGCTGCCGTGTGTCGTCCCGTATTCAGCGGCTCATGAGGCGCAGCAATAACAGAGTCTCACTCATCTGTTTAGCTTAATGGTCTCATGGATATTTAATAACCAGCCTGATAGGCCAGACAGCTTACACACACACACACACACACACACACACACACAC